TACATGTGTGTCTAACCCCCCTTATAGGTTACTGGTTATTATGTTCACCACTTGTCGCCTAGGTTCAGTTTTCAAGGGCAGATCTATGGAAATTGACCCTAAGCGACAGACTCGGTCTCTGAAACAATCTCCGGTAAGTTTGAGTACCATCCATGTTCTAACGGATTAGGCAGCAACCAACAAAACATAAAAAAGTAGTAAATTTAGTTACAAATCTATTTTAAGCCCCAGCGTTTTGCCCGTTAGAGGGTCAAGCAAATACTAAGTCGAAAGAATAAACGCCTCTTCCTTTCGTTTTTTCTTTCTCTTGTTTTTTTGTTTGTTTTGTTCGTGTTCGTGTGTATATTTTTTATCTTTTAGACCTTATTACCTGATATCGGGTTTACAGCCAAGAATTATTTACAACTAAACCTTTTCAAAGCACCACTTCAGCCTTTAATAAGCAGACTGATGCCTGTTGAGGACTGGGCAAACTGAAGTATTTCATTAAATTCTAACTGATCGGTATAGATGCCATTGAAGCAATTACTGATACTAAGTGTGGCGAAAGAGGAAACTCGGATTGGCATGCTATTATTTCCCTCGACCCGAGTTTAATGACTACCCTTCGGGGGTTCCCGGTTTAAAGTTTAACGTTTTTACAGAGGGCATATTATTGGCTTTAGAAGAAGGGTTTGCGGTAAAGAATAAGATGATGAAAACGTCGATTAATTATTGGACCCCATTGTCTTAAGCTTTAGGATTGAATATCCGGACAGTTGTGTAAGGATTAGAGAAATGGATTCCTGGGTACACCTACCAAATGGTGGTATATGGGCTTCTTTAATGCAGATGTATTATCCACTGCAATTTCATGGGAGATTAGATCAAGAAACGTATATAAAACACTAACATATACACAAAAAACATGCACATACCTAAGAACGAACTATTTACCATACAAAATTAATAATGCAAAGATAAGCTTTATTAATTTGAAAATGGACCACTACTTTTAACTTTGGCAGAGGCATTGTTAACAAATATCATTTTATACAAATATAGAATTTCGGGTTAACTTGTTTTCTATAATTTACACTTAATTTGAACAAAATATACATATGTGGAACACATTTTTACCTTTCGGAAAGGTAGCAAAATGGTCTAACAGACCGAAGAAAAAAACGTATGGGGTAAAAACTAATTCTCTTTTTTTTTAATTATTAAACTTTGGATTCTTTATAAATTACAGCTCCACTGGAGTATGGGGCATATGAGGAAGTATCCTTGAGCGCAAGCTTGTCAAAGCTGTCATTAAAGCAGAAGGGCCAGGGAACTAGCAATGGTATGACAGGTGATAATACTTTAAAAATATTTCAAGCGTGGAAAAACTGGGCGTATTGTAAGCCAGTGGAGAATCGTAAAATTCGAAAGAGGACACTATTAAGCGAGAGCTCTCAAATTTATAATGGCTAAAGTAAATTATTTGGATTCGGTTGTTGATAACGACTGAAGGGTTTTTAAAGGACCTCATGAAAAAGATTCATGGGCATAAAGATTAAATACGCCTTAATTGTCGTAAAATTTTTATTAGTAAAGCTCTCTACTTACCTACTGCGTCGGAGAAGCTGGTTAGTGTGGGACAATTGCGAGGTGAGAAGAAAATAATTTCTGACCTAAAAGAAGGAAAAGTGTAGGATCAAGACGGCATGGACCATCTTTTATGTGAAGTATCTCCACTTTTTAGGGTCATTAGGTATTTAAATAGTTGTTACTTCCTAGAAGAGCTCAGATCATTATATTTTAGGCATATATTACAAAAAAACGAACTAACAGCATTCCTTAGTATATAATTTATCAGTATAAAATGAAGAAACTCTGCTGTGCCTCATTAACCAGTGCGAAGATGAAATATCTTAAATATAATAAGCTTTTAGCCAGATCTCATTTAATATATGTGGCCCATAACCGAGGTAATTAGGCGGGGTATTATACTGTCTTACCGTAGTAAGTAAAGGTACAAGATTTGTCTGGATTGTACCGGTTTCATCAAAATCTTCTGTGCCCCTGACATAACCTTGTAGCCTTTCCGCACACCGAGAGCCTTCTATACTAACCTCTTACCAAACGTTTTAAAGAAGTTTTTAAAAATTTACATTTTTCAAGTTTTAGTTTTACGTTAATTTTCATATCTGGATACCAAAGCGCAAAGTACCTTATAATGATTCAATTTAGTTTCTCTACCAACTATGCAGTCATCCACGTATAGATATGAGCCTCCAAGAACAATATTCATATCTTTTTGGAACTCAAACAAAGCAACTGCATATTAAAAAAGCAATATATTCCTCTGCACTAAGCTCTCCGTCAAGGGAAAGCAAAGTATTTTTACTCTCATCATCTACCTCTCGCTGGCAAAAACCTTTAGTATTATCTAAAGTAGTCAATTAGTTTCTGTCGCTCGTTTTCATATTAATAAGTTTTTCGTTCAGAAGTATATAATTCTTGACCATACACTGTTGGTTCAGACTTTTTAAATAGTAGCACAGTCGCATATACGCTTCTAACTTTGCTTGTATACATCCTTTTCACATGTGTTTTCCATTTCGGGTTTAGAAATCACTACTTGAGCATAATTCCAATCGTAGTTATCCGATAATTCTAGTAAACCTATTTTAAAAGCATTCCATACACTTGTTTATCATCTTTCTCTTTAACTTGTCCTAAATCATATAGCCATGCCATACAGGTCGATAACCATTTTTTAATTCTACTTTAAAAGGGACAACTTTCATTACTGACTATTTGTGGGAATTCCATTTTAGTCTAAATATACGTTCTGCTAACGTCATAATCACCAGTCTTCCTATGTCTTTCCCTTGTAAACTGCTTAATTGTATCTCTAGATCACTTACTTAAACACGAGTCATTCCTCCTTTAATGTCGAAAAAGTCTTTTAGAATAAAGCTTATCCTTTACTTCGTATCACTCAGTCTCCACCACCTTCTTGACATCGCAATTATTGCGCTTTCGTCATATTACTTAACTTCGTCCACACTATCTTACTTAGCTTCCTTTTCTTTTAAGCTCTTTTCTATTCACTTGCTTACTTAGTAAAGACGATGCCCGCTCCCGGATATTCACCAGTCTAAAACTGAACTTTCCATAATTGCTCCTTTTTAAAAGAACATCAATACCGCTAGGAAGCCGGTGCTTTACTATGTTGAAACATACTTTCGGTCCTCTTAATAACTACCGGTAACTCGACCGAGCTGAGGGTGCTTTGGTTCTCACCTCCAAAAACACAATCAACATTCCTTTTATTACTTATGATTGAAAAATGCTTCTTAATTCCCTTATATGATATATAACTGCCCTTGCCATAGAGTCTAAACCAGATATAGATAGCTCTCCACTCAATTTATCTGCAACGTTGACGCCATCGCAAATACTATCCCTAGTTAGTTAAAAAGAAGAGATTCTATGCGCCTAGAAAAATTATAGTGGTTTTGAGGCAAAACTTTTTATTATATTAAGCACGTTTACTCCAAGTCATTATAAACTTTCAGAAGGCCACTTAAAATAGTTTAACTATACTCCTTTAAGGCTTAAGTAACTGACCTTTCATTATAAATTATCACCCTCGAGATGATTCCACACACCTTAGAAGCCAAATATTGCCAGAGCAGTCAGAACGCCTGCGTTCGACTTTACTACTTAAACTGAATGTTCTTTTACCCTAACAACTTAGCATATCTGGCTACTCTTTTACCAAAAGGCTTAATATGATCTACTTTGATTACCTGTAAGAAGAAATAACTTCTACAGGAAAATTATTGATCTTACAGACTTAATAACTTCAAGGACTAATATATTATAACCAAAGTGAGAGTAATGTATAATTTTTATCACAAATAATATAATATAAAGTTAGTTTAAATTAAGAACTATAATTTATTTGATTGCTCTCGAGCCGCCCTAGTTGCACAACGCTCACCACCTAACAAACATTTACAATAATAAAACGAAAGAAAAAAAAAAGAGCGAGAAGCACAAATCTCTTAAATGTTTAATTAGAGTTGTGCCCCTAGACGATCAACCTCAACTACATATAACACTATAGAGAAACTCGGGTAAACTTTTTCTCCGCAAATTTGCTTATCTCCGTATAAGTGTGCTTTGCATTAACCTGTGCTTTTTCGAAGTGCCTGAAGGTTTCGATACCAGTTGTGAAGTTTTAAATACCCTAACAGAAATTAGTTCTCGAAGTTGTGAACCGTTCGGAGTTAAAGGAGTATGCCTTTATACGTAAAATCTTGTATTTCGTTTAATAGAATAAATGATAGGAATCAATGAGTATAGAGTGATAAAAGCTTAAAGTTAACAGAAAATAAATTAAAAAAAACTAAATTTATGAACAAAATAAGGGTAGAAAAGAGATTAAAGTTTTCAGTTTGACTTTAATTTATTTAAGGCTTTAATATACATTGAATCCATCTTGATGATAACTTGATAAACACCTTTATAGTAACCCGCACACAACAATTTCTATATGCAGCCAACATTTCAATAAATGCTGACTGAAGCGCTAAAGTACGACCCAGATGGAATGCCAGATTTACGGGTTTAAATGCACCATCCCATAAGCTTATGAAATATCAAGAATCCCCGTAGGTATGCTTTGATAAGTAGTCTGCCATACCGTTCTTAAGGATGTTCTGCGTCCTTTCTCCTTTAATTTAGAAGATAAATTAAGCGGTTAAGGGTTTCGAGACCTTCTGAGTATAATGCCATCTTTGTTAATAAATGAAAATACAACCTACATTATTTTTTTTATTGTGTTCTTTTTTTTTTTTACTTGCTCAAATTATTCTCTTCCATCTCTCATAATTTTATATCTTACTACACAACTGAGTATTAACGAGAGGTGGTTCACTCTCTTTCCCCGACCCCTGTAGATTTACACGAGCTAAATAGAGGGGCAACCAACGAACACACCTCTTTTATTAAAATTCTTTTGCCGCACCCACACCTATCGTTACGCGGTTTTAACTATATGTTGTTACGCTTCAACTTAGTAAGTTTGGGTAATTTAATAATTTTTATGTAAACTTTATACTAAAGATGAAATTTATGATATTTATTATATTGGGAATTATAAATATTTAATTATTACTTTCAATTATGAACGGCAGTGTTTGGAAGATCCTTTTTATCTAAAGGACTTTTAAGCGGGGTGACTTCAATTCTTCGTTATGCTTCTAAGCATAGGGAGTTTCGAAGGAGACCTATGACAGGAAAACGTGGCAGAAATTATAACAAAGGCTGGGGTTGTGGCATTCGCGGGAAGTGGGGAAGAAATGGTTAAGCAGAATTATACTAGATATTTGAGAATTAAATTTATTATAGAGTATATTAAACTCCACATATAAGGTAGTTTAATATATACTAACAAATTTATTTTTTTAGGTATATTTCTTTATGACCACACTAAAGATCCACTATATGTAGTCCCCGATCTAACTAATTGTCAGGTCTTCATTAGTATATGCCTCTACTCATTTTTAACTCTCTAAATTATGCTATTTTTTTAAAAAAAAATTATATTATCGTTTTTTAACGAAGTTGAGCTGTCTAATATACTTATAAATCTTTTATAATAGTAATTTTATAATATTGTTCATTATACAGTTTAAACCTTATGTGATGTTAGGCACCGAAGTTCCCAAGGTGTCTCCTGAAACTCATAAATCGCTTATGAATTATTTAAAGGATCAATAACTGTAGTCAGATAAAAATATTCAATAAAAGACTTTTGCAACGCTAGAATATATTACGTTATAATTTGGGGTAGAATTTATATATAAGAATCCTCTATAATCTACTTTACCTTATTATTTTAAGATTTATTTCTGAACCCTTCAGTGTTTCGCGATTTTCTTTTAAATAGATTTACTATCTATATGAGTAGGGATGCGTAGCTACCTATTTTTTACGCTTTAATCGGTAGGATCACGAACTTGGATTAAATAAGACAACCGTGTTGCTTATGTATGACTAAATGCAACTTATTTATAAAATTAATTGGAGAATTATTCATTTTAAGATCTTATTTGTTTTATATAATTCTTATTAAACTACCTTTTCTTTTTGCTGTATAGGGTCACTTTGTAAGTTATATCCTCAACAAAGGAATGATTTGTACAAGAAAAATTTCAAATATTTTCGTTGCCTTGCGTTAAGGGTATCAGAAAAGGTTTACTACTAAGATCACGGTGTATTACTCACCACATATAAATTAAGAAGCAGGGACGATAGTTGTTAGCAGCCAAGAAGATTGACCGCGACAAAGAGGCATTAGTTTTAATGGTCTACAGACATAGTTGTACTTTGTTTATAACTTAAAGGCGGTTTCCCGTTGAAAATTTAGAAGTTATTGTACTTAATAGCCGCTTTAGCTTTGGCACTAAAAAATAAAGTTATGATAAAAAAGTTTTCAGTTACCATAATGCCAGGTAATTCAAAACTTTACATCATAGCACCGGCGTCCTGCCTAATATCGGGATGAAGGCTTATGGGTTACTCTTTTTTTTCTTTCAAGTACGTTGTAGCTTTACACTTGAAGGGATTCACTGTACTGTACCATAAGGAGAACTAAGTTTTAGGCTCATCAAAGTATCCTTGCAGATGTTAATGACCAAAGAGATGGAACTTAAGCATGATATATATACAAATTTTTCCTCGCTGAGCATTTTGGCACTCCTACAGATGCAACTTTTAATCTTAAGGCAAAAAAGAAGTTTATAAGTTGTTGGAATTATTGCTAAGAATTGACTCTTTAATGCAATATGATATGAGGGTGATACACTTTAAACCATTTTAAAGGTAACGACTATATGCCATATCTTGTCAAAAGCTTTCTAAATCCTTAAAAAAAACCGAGACTATGAATATTTTGTTAGTTAAGGCCATAATTTGTAAAATCCAGAAGTCTTCAAATTTGAAGCTAAAATATTTTCTTTATTAACCATACCTGTTCCCAAGAATAAAGTTTTCTTTATTTTTGCTACCTTAAAAGTAGTATACCAAGAAATATTGGCAAACCGTTATACATACAAAAAAAAACATACTACAAAATCAACTATTAAAGGCAAACCAAGTATATGACCTTAAAAACTAATATTATAAAGGAAAGCACCTTTTAGAGATTTTCAAAGGGAGTATGCAACTAATATCTTGTTAAATTTGTCTTTTAGAAGAAAATCAACAAATATACAATTATAAAAACTCATTTTAATCTCTTGTTAAGGCATATACATGACTGATTACCGGTTATAAATTTTAATTCCATTCTCTTTGTTCCTTTTTTCGTTGTCAGTGTAGTGAACAGTCTCTGCAACTTTTTCCAAAGAAGGAAGTAAAAATAGAGGACGGTAATAATCAGAGTAGGTACTCGGTCAGCCCTTATTAAAACAACTTTATCCTGTTTGTTTTTTTTAAATTAAATAAAAGTAACTCTGCGGAGTGACTAATATTTGTAAGAGGATTATATTGTAACAGCTGTTTCAAATTTCCAGATGAGACCCACGCTACTCTTGGTATTTGAACTTATTTAAAAATTTTAAAGTCGGTAACGGGCCAGCGCGCCCTGAGAGCCACACCCTTAAATAATATATCTATTTATAATTTAAAATCTGACGTTCCTAGCCTATGAAAAAAACAAAAGTAAGTATAAGTTCCCTTAAAAAAAACGCTATATACAAAGAAAGCGAAAACCATTAAGGGTTTTAGTAACAAAATTGGATGACAGAGAAAAAGCTGCAAGGAAGGAAGAGGAAGAAACTAAAAGAACATAATAAGGAGGCCTTTTTTTAACTTTTTAACTGGAGGAGTTATTCCCTAAAAAACTCGAGTATAACACCGGAACGCCACTTCTTAAGTGGTTGAAAGAATGTCTTTTTTAAGGTGGAGCCGCTTAGGCAGCCGATAGATCACGTTGTAGGGGACCAACCGCTTATATACATAGTGCTAGTGTCCTCAAATGATTATCGTTAAATGTTTATCTTATTTGGCAATGAATAGCAATTAATTATTTTCTCTTCTTTCTTTTTAAGATATAAAAGTTTAACGCCTTCCTCTCGGATAAAACATATTTTGCTATCTCTCTACGAAATAGCGTAATCTTAACTTACTTTGAGTTTGCTTTTAATTGGCGTTCTCTTTCACCTGCCTTCCTTTTCAAGGCCCTAACTCTTTCCTCCCACCCTACGTTTTAGCTCCACATTTGATTGGTTTCTTAAAACGCTTCATTTAGTACTGTCAAATAGTAACTATTATCTCCCCTCTTCTCCCTTTCTTTCGCTCTCCCGGGGAAAGAAAAAACTTTACTGTGAGAAAATGTGTTCAAAGCAGACTTATACCTCCCCCTGGGGACGGTGAGCATAATTATTGTATGGAAATGCAGCATGGAATAACGGAATAGGATCCTGATTTTATTTTTGTTGGTTTTGAAGATCAAGCTAATGATTAATAGAAATAGTTGGGGACGTTAATATTTAGTTATCAAAGGTGAAATCCTTAGATTTACTAAAGATTAGCTTCTGCGAAAGCATTCGCCAAGGATGTTTTCGTAAATCAAGAACGGAAGTTGAGAGGTTGAAGACCATTAGATACCGTCGTAGTCTTAACCATAAACTATACCGATCAAATCAGGCATCAGAAACCGCTCGTCCTCTTTTTGGAAATTTGTTAATAAGATCCAAGACCGGGACTTGCACCAATACCGCCTCTTCGTGGTGGTAATACGGTGGCGACAGTGATGGAGACAACCTACATTTCACGCTAGTCTCCTTGCTGCCAAACGTGCCATTTGCTCACTTAACTGCTAATTGATGCGTTCCCTTAGCTGAGCTTACCCCTTCCCGAGGGCCGGGGACCACTTGAGCTAGTTGCGAGCTTTAGGCGATTGTCGAACCGCGTAATGTACCTGGCTCCGATGGCATCACTAATAAGATAATGAGGTACTTGCCAGGAATGCATTACTTGTACCTCCTAGTAAAAGCTGCGATGGCCCTTAGCGTCTTTCCAATCGGATGGAAGGCGGCGACCGTGGTAATGCTGCCAAAGACCCTTAAACTGGAATAAGCAACTAGCAAGTACTGACCCAAAAGTCTCCCTTCAGCTGTCGGCAATGTGTTGATGCCGTTTAATTGCAAAATTTAAAAGAGGCCATGGACGCTCGAGACGCCTTACCGAAATTTCAGTTTGGGTTTCGGTATGGGCACTCAACGACTCAGCAGCTCCTCCACTTAACCTGAACGGGCCACTCTCGCTTTAAAAAAGTCATTGTCGTTCTCTTTCTTAGCCTTGAAAAAGTATTTGATCAAATTTGGAATGAAGGCTTGCATCACATACTTAACTAACTGAACTCGTTATCCGTTCCTCATGGTCTTTACAACGTGCTGAAATCATATCTAAACGGCCCCGTCTTCAGAGTGCTCGTGGGAAATACCCGGTCGCCGCTGCGTTTTCTCACAGGGGCCCCTCAGGTTTCCCTTCTTCCGCCCCTTTTATTTGCAAATATATAAAGCGACATGCCCTTGCCATCAAATCCAAACACCGAAATCACCCTCTACGCCGATGATACGAGCATTTATTCATCACCGACGTCTCCCGCCTTGCAATGCAAGCACCTATAGCGCTATCTTGACGCCCTTTTTGATTGGTGCCGTAAATGAATAGTTTCTGTAAATGCTTTGAAGAGGAAAGCGCTTCAATTACTAAAAAACGCGTCCCCATGTTGGCGCCCTTAACCTTTGATGGCGTGAAGATTCCTTAGTGTTCTCAAATGAAATACTTGGGAGTCAACATTGACAACAAACTTTCCTGTCAGTCGCACGAGGGGCCTCTAATAGCGAAGGTCAAGGCGGCAACCAAGGCGCTTTATCCTTTACTATATGGAAAGAGCAACCTTTCTCTGCGAAACAAACGGCACATTTAGCCAATAATGACATACGCATCTGCTGCCTAGGCTTACGACTCCACTGTAATAGCGTTGGCACTTCATGTGTGACAGAACACATTGCTGCGCGTGATGACCAAAGTGCCGTGGTTTGTGCGAAATGAAGCCCTTCCCCCTGACCTTCAGCTGGACCTTTTAGACGTGTCTTCCAAGGCAACGCCAATGCTCTTTAAGGACAGGCTAGTTAGGCAAACTAAAATCGCCTGCTGGTGAGTGAACTTAATTTCGATTCCTGGGGCGGGGCACATTATCGCCAAAAAATAATAACCCTTTTCGATTTGAAAGCTATTTTCTAATAGGTCTACGATCACTCCTGATTGAGAGCACGAGTATTCAAAGTTTTTTGACTCGACCGAGCACCAGGAACTGTCGTTTATAAATAAATAAATGTATTAAACCCTCAAGCTTGAATCTATTATTTGTTACCACAGTTTTTTTTTTTATTGTCGCAAAGAAAAAGCTTTTCAGCGTGAATGTTATATATTATGTTTTATGATCAATAAGGTTAGAGATAAACACCACTTCACGTTCATTGTTACTGTTGGTCTAATATTCGTTTACTTCCGTACGCATACAAAGTTTATTTGTTTTAAATAACTAACTTTTTCCCTTACCAACTCCTGGTGTGTGCTTGATTAGTTTGATTAAAGGTTTTGCTTACTCTGTAACTATCAAACATGACTTTTTTGATCTAAGAATATGCACAAAATAAACAATTTTGCATACTTTTATATATTTTTATACTTTGTTGTAACTATTTTATATTCTATTTTACATAAATTTTCGAAATATATAACCTAAAGGGCGATTGATTTTACATATGCGCTAAATGGTGACAATGACATAGAAAGTAAGAACATTGGAAATACTTCTAATATAATTCTTTTTTTTTAACGACAGTACTAACCTAAATTTTAAACCACTTACTCTGATTTCCCCTAGTCTAAAAGGGGTGAGACTTAAATGCCCTCCACTGCATTTTTTTTGAGGAGTATATGACAGTCCCGAAGAGCTGAAGGATAGTGGGATAT